TGTTGAGGGAGTCGCAGCGAGGGCACTTGAGCGGCTGGTGGTGGTTGTGGTGGTGCGGCCTCAGCCTGCGGTCTCCGCCACCGCCGCCGCCGCCGCCGCCGAAGAACCTGGTGCCGCCGAGGGAATGTATTTCCTGCATTTCCGGGTGAAATTGGGAAGGAGAGAAAGAGAGTTGTTTTTGGTGTGTGAAGGTTAAGGAAGGAGGTTTGGGGAATGGTGTGAAGAGGAAGAGAGGAAGAAGAGTGTTGTGAGTGACAAATATCCGAGGCGTATCGCTATCTGCCATTTTTCTAATATTTTTTTGTTGGAAGCTAATTGACCGAAACGACCCTGTGTCTGCACCGGATGGGCCACCACCCAGCCTTCCAAAATACGGTACCATTACCAACACACTTATTCAAACAAATACACTACTATTTCCTACTCACATGCTTTTATTTTTTACCACTATTTTTTATTCATGATTATCGAAAACACTTGTACTTTGCTTTGGTATACGAATTGGGAAAATTTTTACTTAAATAATATTTTTTTAAAAAAATTTACAAAAGTATCAACTCTGCAAGTTTATTTATCAGTATAGAACTGTTTATTGTTCATGCTCAGAATTTGGTTCCCGGGGAACCGAATTCTGAGCTTCAAAATCTTATTTTTTTTGTTTTTTCAACTCAGAATTCGGTTCCCGGGGAACCGAATTCTGAGTTATTTAATTTTTTTTTCGTGTTTCTGACCCATTTTGGGCAAATGTTGGAAGTGGAATGGTCCGTTCCGGAAGCAGAACGGGCTGTTCTGCTTAAAGATACAAAGTCCTTTTTTTTAAATTAAAACGGGCCCAGAACGGCCCGTTCCAGAACAAAAATTTTAACATTTTTTTGAATCTGAAATGGCCCTGGAACAGGCCGTTCTGGAAGACGTTTTCAAGAAGTAGAACGTGGTTTAGAACGGGCCATTCTGGACAAACAGTAAAAAAAGATTAAATTTTTTATTTTTAAAAAAAAGAAGAAGATAATAAAGTTAAAATAATGGGATATTAAGCAATAAATAGGGAATATATTCTCTCCGACAATATAATTATCGGATAAAATTTTAACTATTCAATCAATTTTATTAAAATAATATATTTAAACAATCACTTAAGATAATATCTTGCGCTCAAAACGTACAATTATCCCTGAATTATAGGGAATATATTCTCTCCGACAATATAATTATCGGATAAAATTTTAACTATTCAATCAATTTTATTAAAATAATATATTTAAACAATCACTTAAGATAATATCTTGCGCTTAAAACGTACACTTATCCCTGAATTATAGGGAATATATTCTCTCCGACAATATAATTATCGGATAAAATTTTAACTATTCAATCAATTTTATTAAAATAATATATTTAAACAATCACTTAAGATAATATC